CCCAATGTGTACCCCATACCTGCCGAGGCCTTGGCTTCCTTTGACTACATTGTCCGTGAGGGAAAGTTTGGAGCTGTAGAGGCCACCATGGCCAAGTATGTGGGTGCAGCTGCCATGTACCTCATCAGCAAGCGCCTCAAAAGCAGGTAATGGCTCATACAAGGATATGCATGCGTGAGAACAGGTCTGCTGTCCTCCAGTCCCCACATGGAGGTCTGTGTAGCATCCTTCAAAGCCCTCAGGAGGGATGAGAGAAACTGAGGCCTAGAGAAGACAAGCCGGGCCTGGGACCCAGCATTTCTGATCAGCCCCTGTTTCAGGCTTTGGGGTCAAAAGTCATGCCCCTCCCTGTGCCCTCTACTTCTGCCTCCTCGTCAGGGTCCCTTCCTCATTTCAAGCCACACACCGTCACTCACTGGGGGCAGGTGTTCTGCAGTGTGGGTACCATCCCCTCACCTAGGGCTATGCAGGTTTGCAGCCTTTCTGCTTTATGCAAAGGGAGCTGTGTTCACATGGGCTGGGGCAGAAGTTCCCTGACCAACCTTCCTGTCTCTTCCCCAGGCACCACCTGCAGGATGATGTCCGTGCAGACCTCTATGAAGCAGCCAACAAATGGGTGACAGCCGTGGGCAAAGACCGGCCATTCATGGGGGGTCAAAAGCCTAACCTTGCTGACCTGGTGGGTATGATGGGGAAAGAGAATGGCCTGCTCCCCGGGGAACTGTCTGGTTTTTCTGTATGTGTTGTTGGGGAAAACAAACAGCTTTCATGGTTCTTGTGCCTGAAAGGCTGGAAGGAGCTTGTTTCAGGCTGGGCAGAATCCAGGTTCTTGAGTGACAGTGGCAGGGCCTCAGCTCTCCTCTGATTTCCTGGCTCAGTTGTGGCCTGCATGGGCTCCCAGGCTTCTATCCGGTAGTCTCACTGCCCCGGCTTTCAGCAGTCCTGTAACCAGGTAGCCTGGGTCTGACCAGGTGCTGAGATACCCCTCAAATCTTTTTTTTTTGTTTGCTTTTTGTTTTTTTTTGTTTTTTTTGTTTTTTTTTTTTTTTGAGACAGGGTTTCTCTGTATTGCTTTGGCGGTTGTCCTGGCACTCCCTCTGTAGACCAGGCTGGTCTCGAACTCACAGAGATCCGCCTGCCTCTGCCTCCCAAGTGCTGGGATTAAAGGCATGCACTACCACTGCCTGGCAGATATCTCCTCAAGTCTTACACAGCATACAGGCAGTTTGGGTGCGCCATCTGAAGTCTTGGTGTCCTGTGGGCCCAATGCAGTGACTGTCCTTGATCCTTCCCTAGGCAGTGTATGGTGTGCTGAGAGTGATGGAGGGTCTGGAAGCCTTCGATGACCTGATGCGACACTCACGAATCCAACCTTGGTACCTTCGGATGGAGCGGGCCATTGAGGAAGCCCCCTCAGTGCACTGTGTCCCCCCTAACTGCTGAGGGCCAAGACCTGTCCATGCTGGTAGGAGGTAGTCATTTTGTCTCTGGTCCACCCAGCCCCTCCTGGCCCTCTATTGGACATTTCTAGGGATGTTGACACTGGGGACAAGGCCCAGGCTCATAGCTATCTGAGGGCAAAGGGTCAGGAGATTACAGAGGACTATCCTCCAACCCCAATTTCAGGGGCCTGCTCTCCCAACAGGGATTCCTTTTCAACTCTCCCAGGGCTCAGTGACTCCTTGTTGGCAAGGATCAGACTGGGCTCCTACCCTGGACAAGGGGAGGCAGTCTGCATTAGGGAAAGCCCTGTCCACATGTCTACTGGTTCCAGCTCTTCCCAGGTACCCCTGGACTACTGTATTTGCAATAAAGGAGAGGTCTGCTGCTCCCCTCTGGCAGCCACTGTTTTGAGGTCTGGTTCATGTGGGAGGGGCTGCAGTGGCTGTCAGTCAAGGAAAGCCAAGGCAGGTTGCATTAACCTGGTGCCCACTGAATGTCACCAGAGTCTTGGACATGGAGATTAGTCTGGTTATGTCCCTCATTGACCATGGAGCTTAGGGCAATGACATTCCTACTCCGAGAAGTTGTGGGGAAATTGGGTATAATAGCGCACACCTGTAATCCCAGCAAACCAAAGGCTGAGGAAGGAGTACCAAGAGTTTAGCCTGGGCTGCATGGTGAGACCCTGTATCCAAAGAGAAAGAATGGATGTGGAGACACAGCTCTGTTGATAGAGAGAATACTTACTCAACACACAGAGTCCTGGGTTCCGTCTGTGTAATCACACAGGAGGGTATGGCAGTGCACACTAGTAATCCCAGCAGGAGACAGTAAGATCAAAGTCACCTTCAACACAGTGAGTTTGAGGCCAGCCTGGATCATATGAGATAGCTTCAAAACAAACCCAAAACCCAACAAAGTTGCCATGGGATGAGGAGGTGGGGGAATTGGTTTGGTGTTGGTCAAGTGTACACCAGGACACTGAGCTCAGCAAGGCTGGGTGAGGCTGGGACAGTCTATATTCTTGAGGACTGCACCCAGGCCCTTGTGCTTGCTAGGCAAGCAACTCTACCATCGAGCTAAATCACCAACCCCTTTAATGTATTTTGTAATATGTATGAATGTTTTGCTTGCATGCCTGTCTGTGCACCATATGCATGCCTGGTGCCTGCAGAGGATAGAAGACGGCACTGCATCCCCTGGAACTGAAGCTACAGATGGTTGTGAGCTGCCCTGTGTGGGTGCTGGGAACCTGGGTCCTCTGAAAGGCAGCCATTGGAGTCATCTGTAATCCCCTCCAGTACATGCTCTTAATAGCATCACGTAAGTACATGAGGTGTGAGACCCGGCCCGCAGAGCTGTGTGGAAGAGCTTCTCCCCAGGCTGTGCCTCTAGCCCTGGAACGTTGTCCTTGTTAGCATGTGCCACACTGGTTCCTCTATGCAGGGCACCTGTTCACATATGCCATGGCCCACTTACTGGGGCTTGCCCTTTGGGGTATCAGATGCCAGTGTTAGGGGCTGTGGGAGGAAGTGAAGACTTGGGCTTGAGGCAGTGTGCCTGGCACAAGACGACACGAGGGTCATCTCCAAATGTGGTGGAGGCCCCAGAATCATAGCTGTTTCCAGTGTCTGGTCACACCTGAAATCTGAGGGATCCTGAGCACCCACAGTAAACAGAAACTTGGCCAATATTGTTATGGGTGACAGGAAGGTGAAGATCCTTCATCCCTCTGTCCTGTGTTTTTTGGGTGCTGCATCTCTCCATCCCATCGTCTACGCCTTCATCCCTCCATCCCCTTATCCCTGTATCCCTCTTACCTCTTCATGCCTTCATCTCTCCATCCTTGCATCCCTGCTTCTAACCTCCCCCGTGGCCTTCTCAAGACTGCCCACTGTTGTTCCTTAGTCCCTCCTGAGGAGGCTGACTCACTTCTCAGTCCCTGTTCCCCCAAAGGAAGCCACTGATATACTGATATGTGGTGAGATGTCTACCTTCTCACTAGGACACCATAACCTGGAGATTCCCACTGCCTGTAGCCTGTGCTCTCGCTAGCCCCGCACTGCCCATCAGTTGGGTCTAGCCCCCTTGAGGTCATCTGACTTAGGAGGTGGGACAGGCAGGTTGCATCTCAGCTGTCAGACATATCCTCCTTCCCCTTCACAGAGTTCATGTTTTCTTCTGTCTCTGCATTCTACAGAAAGCGGTAGGCATTAGGGACTCCAGAGTGAACCTGAAGGTTTTTCCCAGGGGTTACTGCAGGTAGGGAGAAGCCTGCACTGGCTGGGCAGGGGATGAGAACTCCAGGGACTGTGCTAGCCAGGCTGGCTTCCTGTGACTGTCCTGGAGAATGACTGAAGCTGCCACAAACCACCTAGGCCCAGTTTCTTCCTAGAGTATGTCTTCCAGTGTGCTTCCACAGCCATCAGGAGGCACTAGAGAGCATACAAAGCCTTCAACAATGCTTCCCAATACCACCAGGAGGCACTATAGAGCCTCCTCCAAAGCCTACAGGAGATGGAAATAGCATGGGACTGCCACATTGCAGCCAATTGTGGGCTTAGGTGGCCTTCATTGTCCAAACAGCCCATCTAAGGTTTAGTATTTAACAGTCTGGATGAATGAGTAGGGAAAAAAAAAATCACATTTAAGTCTCCTGCAGTCTGTTTTTGAGATAGGCCTCTGTAGCCCAGGCTGGACTGGAACCTGATCTCAAGCTTGTGGCCTCCTACAGCTTCCTAAATGCTGGGATTACAGATGTGCACCAGGTTGCCCAGTGCACCAGGTTGCCCAGCTTCACCTATAGTCTTGGCAGAGGCAGAGACTAGAGTTGGGGCCTCTGTCCACTCTTGGCTGTGACCTTGGGCAAACCTCAACTGTCCTGTGAACTGGCATCAGTGGCCATGTGTGAAGTTGGTGAGGTTGGGAGCCAGAGGTGTTTGGCAGATGGTACAGGCTTGGTATTCAAGGGCTGATTGTGTAATCCATGTAATCCATCAGCTGGCTACCTCAAAACGAAATCCCTGTGGCTTCCAGTATTGTCACCAGTATTGAGTCAAGGACACTAGGAAGTAGAACTAGAGAACCCTGAGACCATGGTAGCTAGGGAGAGAGCCCACAGGGAGGATTCTGGTTTTCTTGCTTTTGTTAGTTAAATTTTCATTTAAAAATATTCTTAGAAACTATTTTAAAGTATTGTGCATGTGTGCATGTGCATATATATGTGTGAGCATGAGAGGAGGCAAGAAGCATCCGTTGCCCCTGGAGCTGGAGTTAGAGGCCTTTTGAGCTGCCTTGACATGGGTGCTGAGAACTGAACCTGGGCCCTCTGCAGGAGCAGTTTTGTGTTTTGTTTTGTTTTTGGAGACAGGGTTTCTCTGTCTAGCTTTGGAGCCTATCCTGGCACTGGCTCTGGAGACCAGGCTGGCCTCGAACTCACAGAGATCCATCTGCCTCTGCCTCCCAAGTGCTGGGATTAAAGGCATGTGCCACCAACGCCTGGCCAGTTTTGTGTTCTTAATTTCTAAGCCGTCTCCCCCAACCCCTTTCATTTTCTTTGGGATCATGTGAACAATGAATGCTTATTCTCCATAGAAACTATCCTAGGTTAAAGCTCTTTGTTCTTACCAGTTCCAAAAATTGCCTGATTTTCCAGTGTGCTGCATTCCTTGGGCATCACTTCTGCTATATTTAACTGATGGTAAGGATTTTTGATGGGTGGGGGTGTTTGATAGTACTGGAGAATGAGTACCCTTTCGCTTTTCAGACAGGCTCTATCTGTATTCCAGGCAACTCTAGAGTGCAATGTATATATAGTTCAGCTGGCCTCAGACCCATGTTAACCCTGCTGTTATAGCCTCCTGAATGCTAGGGCTATTGATGTATGGTCACACCCATCAGGGAACTGTGTGTAGGGCAACCAGCTGACTGGAAGCCCTCCATCCCCAGAACCTGTTGCACTTGATGTGGTAAAAGGAATTTATAGGTGTGATCAAACTGTTGATTTTGAGATGGGGAGATTGTCCAGGCAGGCACTGAAGGCACTCAAGAGAGGGAAGTAGCCAGGTGGGTGTCACAAGCCTGTGATCCCAGAACACCAGGAAGTAGAGGCAGAAAGATCAGGAGTTCAAGGTCATCCTTTTCCTTTACAAGACAAGCTTGAGGCCAGCCTGGACCACATTTAAAAAGTACAGCAAACAGAGGGAGATATGACCAGAGTTGAGATGTCTTTGTGTGTGGAAGCACAGCAGCTGGAGGAATCAGAAAGGGTCACAAGCCACAGGCTGCAGAAGCCTCCAGAAGCTAGGCATCTGTCCCGAAGCCTGCAGGAGGAGCCAGACCTGCTGACACCTGGACTCGTCAGCAGAACTGACTTTGGACTTCAGGCCTCCAGAAACTGGCATGTTCTGAGTCACTGACTGTGTAGTTGTTGGTAACAGCGGTCCTGGGATGCTAATACAGATGCTGCATGTTGAGGGACGTTAGGAAAGAGAAATGAGTGAGGGAAGTGAGTGTCAAAGAACAAGTCCAGTGTCTACTGTGTCCTCATCTGTAAAGTTTAGCGAGAGAGGCCCCCGCCACCTGCCAGTGAGACCAGCTTCCTCCCTCTCCCAGAAGCCTCAGCAAGAGCTATCAGAAATAAAGAACCCTCCAGGACCATAGGGTGGGCTCACAGTGACAGAAAGGATAAGAGTCATTCACTGGGCTGCTCTCCTGTTTAGCCCTGTGCCCAAGGACTCTGTCCAGCAGGCCCAGGTTGATGGCCCCTGCAGAACCTGGACGCTCACCGGCTGTCTCTGGATTCAAGTTTCCTTCTGCTCCACCTCCTTCATTTCTTTCCATCCAGCCCAGACCAACTGTGGCCACACTGAGCTGGCTGGCCCTTTGGGGCAAGGACCAAGGTCCACCTGGGCAGTTGGGCCAGCATGAGGCTCCACCCTCCCACCTTTTCCCTACATTCCAATCCACTCAGACTGGTGAAATCTGGATTGGGGACCGCAGAGCACAGGTCACTATGGTGGATAAGGACAATTTCGTCTTTGTATGAACTGGGACGTGTCTCTTCAGGGCTGTGAGAAAGGTCCCATGCAAACCTTGCCCAAGATCATTCTGAAGTACTCTAACTTACCTTAAAAGCCAATTAGAAGGCCACACAGGGACAATATAATCCAAAACCACATGTTGAGTGTTCACAGTTCTGGGCTCCAGGCATGCACAGTGGCAGGGAACAAGCCCCCAGCATGGATTGGGTGGTTAAGAGCCTCAGGAATGAAAATAGTCTGGTGATGTGCCAGGCAACATGGCAGGATGAAGAGGCCAGCTTAGGCAGGAACAGTCTTCTAACGGAGGCAGGCAGTGGAGGTCTCACGAAGATCAAACCCAAATGCACAGGACAGAGGGGCAGAGAACGATGCTACCCCTAGGGAGGTTGGCTTGGTGAGCGCTGCACTGTGCCCACCTCACAGATCCTGAAAGCTGTTTCAGCTGCTGGTAAGGCTTCTCCTTTCAGCTGGCTTGGAGGACAAGGCTTGAACAGGTGGAAGAGCAGGCTGGGGGGTTGGGGGGGGAGAGACGCTAGCCAATCAGCCAGGGCCTGTTACTCTGCTAAAAAATTCCTGAAATTAGTGGTGTACAGGTGTCCTAGCCAATTCCTAGAGCCTTAGATGGCAAAACGCAGACATTAATTCTCATACAGATCTAGGTATGGGTGGGGCCAGTTCCCAGTCTCTAATGGTGACTGCCAGCAGGATCTTTGGTGTTTCTTAGCTTGCAGACATAGCCCCCTAGCCTCTGCCTCTTCATGTAGACTCCTCCTTTATAGAGGATAAAGGCCAACAAGATGGCTTAGCAGGTAAAGGTGCCTGCCACTAATCCTGAGGGCCTGAGTTTAATCCCCAGGACCCTAGTGACAAAAGGACAGAACAGCCTCCTATAGTTGTCCTTTGACCGCCCACATGCACCTAAATACACACACCACACATACCACACACACACACACATCACTCACATACCATGCATCTCACACAAACACACACACACACACACAAATATGTAATGAAATTTAAAGCAGGATATCATATTATATACCTGGCTTACCTTGAACTTGGCCTCTTTTTGGAGACAGGATTTCTCTGTATAGCTTTGGAGCCTATCCTGGCACTCGCTCTGGAGACCAGGCTGGCCTTGAACTCACAGAGATCCACCTGCCTCTGCCTCCCGAGTGCTGGGATTAAAGGCGTGCACCACCAACGCCCGGCTCATGCCACTTTTTATTCTTGCAAGGATAATCTCTGATCTCTGGATTTGGTCCCCCTCCTGATCTTATAGAATAGACTCAACACTCTGGGAACCACCAGAGGACAAAAGGCAAGCAAGCCCTTAGCTTGCTGAAGAGGAGGCAGCTTGGGCAGC